ACGCGCACACACGCACACACGCACACACGCACACACGCACACACGCACACACGCACACACGCACACACGCACACACGCACACACGCACACACGCACACACGCACACACGCACACACGCACACACGCACACACGCACACAAGCACACACGCACACACGCACACACGCACACACGCACACACGCACACACGCACACTCGCACACACGCACACACGCACACACGCACACACGCACACACGCACACACGCACACACGCACACACGCACACACGCACACACGCACACACGCACACACGCACCCACGCACACACGCACACACGCACACACGCACACACGCACACACGCACACACGCACACACGCACACACGCACACACGCACACACGCACACACGCACACACGCACACACGCAAACACGCACACACGCACACACGCACACACGCACACACGCACACACACACACACGCACACACGCACACACGCACACACACGCACACACACGCACACACACGCACACACACACACGCACACACACGCACACACACACACACGCACACACACACACACACTCACACACACGTACACACAGGTACACACACGTACACACGTACACACACACACACACACACGCACCCACACACACACACACACCCACCCACCCACCCACGCACGCACGCACGCACGCACATAGACACTTACACACTTAGACACTTACACACTTACACACTTACACACTTACACACTCACACACCTACACACTTACACACTTACACACTTACACACACACACACACACTTACACACACACGCACATTTACACACACACACATACACACACGCACACACTTACACACACACCCCCACCCCCACCCCCACACCCACCCCCACACCCCCACAGGCGCACCCGCACCCGCACGCGCACGCGCACGCGCACGCGCACGCGTACGCGCACGCGCACGAACACGCACACGCACACTCTCACGCACACGGACACACGCACGTGCACGCGCACGCGCACGTGTGCGCGCACGCGCAGGCGCAGGCGCACGCGCAGCCGCACGCGCACGCGCACTTGCACGGGCACGGGCACACACATGCACATGCACGCACATGCACACACACACACACATGCACACACGCGCGCCCGCACACAAGCACACGCGCGCATGCGCGCACGCACCCACACCCACACACACACACAGACACACAGACACACAGACACACAGACACACAGACGCACAGACACACAGACACACAAACACACAGACACACGGACACACAGACACACAGACACACAGACACACAGACGCACAGACACACAGACACACAGACACACAGACACATAGACACACAGACACACAGACACACAGACAGACACACAGACACACAGACACACACACACACAGACACGCACACACACACACACCCACCCACCCCCGCAGCCACCCACCCACCCACCCACCCACCCACCCACCCACCCACCCACCCACCCACCCACCCACACGCACGCAAAAACGCAAAAACGCACGCACGCACGCACGCCCGCGCCCGCCCGCCCGCCCGCCCCGCGCCGCGCCGCACGCCCCGCCCGCCCGCCCGCCGCCCGCGCTCGCGCGCGCGCGCGCGCACGCACGCACGCACACACGCACACGCACGCACACACGCACACACGCACACATGCACACACGCACATGCACACAACACCCCCCCACACACACCCACACACCCCCACACACCCCCACACACCCCCACACACCCCCACACACCCCCACACACCCCCACACACCCCCACACACCCCCACACTCCCCACACACCCCCACACACCCCCACACACCCCCACACACCCCCACACACGCCCACACACGCCCACACACACCCACACACGCCCACACACGCCCACACACCCCCACACACCCCCACACACCCCCACACACCCCCACACACCCCCACACACCCCCACACACCCCCACACACCCCCGCACCCGCCCGCACCCGCCCACACACGCCCACACACGCCCACACACGCCCACACATGCCCACACACGCCAACACACGCCCACACACGCCCACACGCGCGCTCACGCGCCCACACAAGCCCACACAAGCCCAAACGCGCCCACACGCGCCCACACGCGCCCACATGCGCCCACACGCGCCCACACGCGCCCACACGCGCCCACACGCGCCCACACGCGCCCACACGCGCCCACACGCGCACCCACGCGCCCACACGCGCCCACACGCGCCCACACAAGCCCACACAAGCCCACACGCGCCCACACGCGCCCACACGCGCCCACATGCGCCCACACGCGCCCACACGCGCCCACACGCGCCCACACGCGCCCACACACGCCCACACGCGCCCACACGCGCCCACACGCGCCCACACGCGCCCACACGCGCCCACACGCGCCCACACGCGCCCACACGCGCCCACACGCGCCCACACACGCCCCCACACGCCCACACACGCCCCCACACGCCCCCACACGCCCACACGCTCACACGCCCACACGCCCGCACACACACACACACACACACGCACGCACGCACGCACGCACCCACCCACCCACCCACCCACCCACCCCCCCGCCCACCCGCCCACCCGCCCACCCACGCACCCACCCACCCACCCACGCACGCACGCACGCACGCACGCACGCACGCACGCACGCACGCACGCACGCACGCACGCGCGCGCGCGCGCGCGAGCGCCCAAACGCACGCCCAGCCACGCACGCGTTCACATTCACGTTCACGTTCACATTTCCAGATTGGTCGGCCATTTCTCTCCCTAGGCTACGCCGCTGCCCCGCAGGCAGGGCCTTGAAAAGCGCGAACGGAGTGTTTCCCTTGCACCCTAAGCTGCTTTTTGTTCTCCCTAGTCCAAACACTAAATCCGGGGCTTGGTTAGCAGGACTAGACTTGATAAGCCGTCCAGGGTTTATCAGAGCCACTAAGCTCTAAGGCTGAAGGAATGTTCATGCCCACTTGAACCTTGGCAGGCTCTGCGTGCGTTCGGCCGTTTGGCAACCATCCAGCACGCAAAGACACATTTGCAGAAAGCGCGGATACTCACAAACACGCACAGATAGCAGCTGGTGGCCAAATCGCACAAACTTCAGTTTTTGTTTTGCCTCGATCTCTTTCAGAGACCCACGAAAGGATGAAGCAGATAGCCCAATTCGGCGTGTGTTAAGATTACTTGCACCCCTTCCAATGGATATGTTCGCATTCGTTTTTCTTTGGAGCACCCTGCCGAGGTATCAGTACCCATTGGGTTCCGTGTCCGTTTGGAATCTTTCCGCAGGCTCGGCAGGATGTGTCGCCCAGGCGCGGAAGCCAGGAAGCGCGAAGCACCTGTCCAATGACTAGAATCCGGGTGTCTCGCAACGTTCCAGTTCCGTGGGTTACATGCCCTTTTGGACCAGGTTGAAGTGAGTTTCCTCTTCGGCGGGTGAGGTTTGCAGGGAAAGTACAGGAAACACCGTTAACGCCAGGCGTGCTTCCTGCATTTCAATAAAAGAGTTTTCCATGGCCTTACAGGGCAAGCGGACATGCAAGCGTGCAACCAGTTTTTGCAATCAAAGCCTGCATTGCATCTTCATGTCGTCGTTGTTGCTGACCCCATTTTCTCAAATTGCTTTCTCCCCCTTCTTGCAGCTCGTTGCTCCTGAATTCAGTCAGCAGAGCGACAAACTTGGTTTTGATTTGTCCATCCATTGGCTTGTGTGTTCTTTGCATTCTGGTTCCTCTTGTTGGCACATGCATCCTCAACCATCCTGCCCCAGCAAATTCAACCAAGGCCTTGTTTTATCTCATTTTGAATAATCTCAGTTGCCTGAATGCCAGCCTTGAAAGCCAGACATTCTCCCAATGGCCCAAAGGAGCATTCTACCTAAGCCTAAGCTCATGAACCAACACTGAGAACCAACCTCTGAGCGCACTGCCATGCATCGCAAACTCAGCACCAATCTTGTGAATCCACCAATGTGGCTCTTGGAATTCAGACCTGTCGTGTTCGGAACCCAGCAGCTTCAAGCGCCTTGATCAAAACATGTCGGGCTTGGCTGGCACATGTTTTGGGACACAATGGTCGAGCAGGATCCCGCAACAGTGCCCCTACCGGGAAAGGGGGATTACCGACACTTGGATTCAGGCACTCGAGGAGAGATGTCCTCGCCTAAGTCCTGCAAGGAGTCGGGTGTTCAGCATCGATTGGGCGAAAGTGAGGGACTACGCAGCGATTTCATAAGGCTTAGAGTGACAGCGATGGCGCTTGAGGCAACCCCAACGCGATCATCCACGCGATCCATCACTCCTGCCCAAGCCTTTGAACCTGTTGCTGTGGTATGCACAGATGCATGGTGCGTGCTTAGGTGAGGGGAGCCATGAATGGACTTGCTCGTGCTGCTGCCAGCAGCCCAAGTTCCTTGAAGTGTCACACAATCGCCACTTGGAACATATCCTTCCCAGCTTTTTCGTCGCTAGATTCCAACCCTATCATTGCAATTCTCTCCAATTAGAGACCCCTCTACAAGCGGTTGGTTCTTTCGGTTTTCCCTTCACACCATCAACAGTTAAAACCATCAAACCTTTTGGTCTCAGCTTTTCTACGCGTGCAGAAACCATCTATCAGACCATTCTTTGAGAAAGACCCGCGTGCACCTCGTGCGCGTTTGCGCGGCGAATGGGCAGTTAAGGCCGCCATGCGGATGCGGTCCACGACGCCGCCGCCCGCCGCGGGCACGACCCCTCGCAGGAGCTCCACCAGCAGTGGGCAGCCCATCCGCGCCGGGAGGCCCAAGTGTTGAGCGGCTGCTGAAGCGGCTGCTCTTTTTTCTTCTTCCTTTTTTCTCCTTTTTTTTCCGGGTTTTTGAAGCAGGTTGCCCTAAACGAGCAAAGTTCTGAGGGTCCAGGTTTGAGAGAGCAAAGTCCCGCCTCGAGGCACGCCAACAAGTTTCTTGAGTGCGAGCGAGCCTTGTGTCCGGGGTGTGACGACAGACTATGCAACTGGCCGAGGCCATATGATGCCGTGAGAAGCCGAGGCCAGTGAGCTCACCATGCTGAAAGTTTTGGTACACCAAATCATAGTTGTCATATTTTGGGAAGCCTCCCCAGATATTCTCACAAGACTATCTGTCCACTCTAACCCAACGTCAGGCTTGAGCAAGTTGTCAGTGCAGCTCTTGAGGCCTTCTCTTTTCCCTGCAGCTGGACGCGAGGGGTTGGGAGGAAGTGCAGAGAGGGACCAAGTAGAGACAAGCAGTGAGAGGAGACGTGCAAGCGGTTTCGGAGCTTCCATAGCCCCCCGAACAGACCCAAAAGAGATGGCTGCCCAAGCTCCCTGGTTCCAAGACTCTGAGCTTGGCGGCTTCGGTCTCATCGCCCCCAAGCCAAAGCAGCTGCAGAGTTTGTGGCTTTCACTGCCGTGTAGATCGGCATGGAGTTGTGTGCTTAGAACCAGGGGTCGTGCAACCCTCCTTAGCCCCAATGCTTGCCGCAGCTCGGGTTTGCCCCACAAAGCGGGGATCCAAGCGACAGTCACGCTGCAGGACACAGCGCCTCTGGCGGCTGACGGGTGCTGTCCTGCCGTCCTGCCTCTGGCATAGCCAAAGGTTGGCCGGCAAGAGTCCACTGCGGCAACTTTAGAGAGCAAGATCGGTCCCGTGGAGCTTGAAGCAGCTTTTTGCCTGCGCAAATCAAGGCCTGACACAAGTTGCTACTCGATGACTTGGGAATGATCAAGCCCATGTTATACTGTATTTTGCTTGGTGCCATGGGTGTCCAGCTCTGCCTTGAATTGGCGCCAAAATCTGCATAGTGCGAAGCACAGAATGCAGGCCCTGGCTTCCTTGGTCACGGGCCCATGTGGATCTGGGGCCTGTGACCGTCCTGCGCAGGAATGGGTACAGACGCGAAAATCCACCCAAAGCCTCTCTGCGCTCAGTGCGGCACTGTAGAGTCTGGATGGAGCAACTGCTGGCCTGCTGCATTTCGTGCCGAGACTTACGTCACGAGGGCAGGCGAACCAATTCACCAAGAACGGGAGGGGGATCAAGCTACACGTCAAACGCATTCAGACGATTGCAGAGCTAGCGGACGCAGAGCGGTAGCCTCAGCAACTTCCCAAGGGCGCCATCGTGATTCCCGCCATGGCGTACGCATCTTCCGCTGACTCGTAGGCCGCGATACTTTCAGCTGTCACTGTGCAAACTAACCGTGGCTCTGCCAGGGATGAGGGTATGTCTGTGAGTCGCGAAGCACAGTTCTTGTTGGAAAAACGCTGGCCTTTTGTTTTCCCCGCATGAAGGGAACGTTCATTTTAACACAAATCTAAATGTGCATCAAGCTTGATACTTATGTTTTTGCAGTGTGACAGCTGTGACTTGTCGCTGCTGCGCATTGCACGGAGCCCTTTCACAATGCTTATTTGCGCTCAAAAGGTCAGAAGATCGCCGCGCATGTCCGACCCTTACCATGCAAGCGAGCAAGGCGAAGGCTGAAAAGCGTACTTTTCCTATCCTAGTCGTGGTGGATGAGGAAGGACCTACCATTCTGAGTTCACTCCCGACAAGATGTTCAGTTTCAGTCCCATCTTTTTTGGCCCCTTCTAAGCGGGGGCATTGGTGTTTTCCCTACAGTTGAGCCAGACTGAGGTCGGAGTTTTCTAGTATTCCTCCCGCTTGGCGCTGGCGCCTCAATTCTATATGACCGCGAGACTGGTGCGACCTGTTTTGATTGTTGGTTTATCAGGCAAACTTTGGCACATTGCCAGTACCGGGGCACTGGCAATGTGCCAAAGTTGGAGACCCCCTTTTGGCTGAAGCAGAGTGCACCGTTTACCGGGTTTCTGATTTTGACACGCAGCCACGGCCTCTTGGGGAATGCCGAGCCTTGCTGCACAAGGCCAATCTGCTGCTAACTTCGCCAACTGGTTTCCAGAGGCAATGCGCTGCATGCCTTGCCAATCAGAATGCACTACACACAAAAATATCAAGGTTTTGAGAGAAATAAGTACGATTCCTGTTTTGGTAATGACCAGGTCCCACAGAGAGGAGCCTTTCGCGGTGACTCATTTAGCTGAAAGTATTGAACTATTGCGGCACGTGGGAATGGCAAACCTCAGCAAAACCACCGATGTCCTGCCTGTTGATGCGGCTGCTTCACAGCCTAGTTGATTTCTTGCTTGAGCAAGGCGGGGGCATGACCTGAGTCAGGTGTTGGCGATACTAGGAGCACCAGACTTGGAGGAGCCATGTGTTGATATTTGCAAGAGAACATCCGCGTGCAAGAATGGCTTTCTTTGCTACTTCTGGGTTTGTGCTGAGTTGCTTGGAGATTTGTCCAATGCCCAGACCGCGCCCTGTCTTGATTTGCTCAACATGTGGCCCAGGAGCAGTTCCTCCAAGGGCGAGTCCAAGTCAACGAAAGCTCAGCTGGCAAAACCTTGGAGGTGCGGTTCGTGCGATGGGGCGTTGGATAATTTCACCTGAAACCGGGGCTGAGATTTGTCGTAACCCGGTCCTAAGATTCAACAGCTTTCCAGCCCAGCTTGTTGGGGTCAGAAAGAGCCATAGACAAAGGCAAGGCTCAGCCTGGAGCATTGGATTCCGCACATTTGACCTTGCCCTGTGGCCTGTGGCGAACTCACTAGATTGTTGCGCGAATCAGGTGGTGCTTCCAAAGAAGGGGCAACACAGCGAGGCCGGAGCTACTGGCTTTGACGTGGGTTCGGCTCCTCTTGAGCCACGGCCATCCGACTTTCCACCAGCTTAACATGAGCCTGCCAGCACGTGGGGGTCAAATTTGTGACCCCATTCTGGACCCCCGGAGACTGGCCAACAGGCTGCAAATGGCTGTGTTTTCTTAGACAGCCTTATGGCAGTTGTTGGATCCGGCGTGAGGGGTGGTTGAAGCTCAATTTCCCTGTCGGCTTTTGACAATGGATGAAGAGGCTTGCTATGGGCAGATCTCACCGCATCTTTCATCATCCAATCTCAGAAACCACACAGGTATCCCTTTCTTTTCACAGCTGTTCAAGGCTACGTAAATGCCACACAAATCAGATTGAAACTTCAGGGAAACCGTGTGTTCAAATTTTGTATGGGGAAAACAGTTGGCAGAGTCTGGTGCAGATGAAGAGTTGCACCCAAAAAGCTTTCCCAGAATCTGTTTGTTTTTGTTTTGTATTTGCTGGTATGTTCTGTTTTCTTGCTGTATTTTATGGCTTGTTCTTTTGTGCGAGAACAGTCGGGCTGCATGAAGTCCGGTTTTCTGTGGGGGTGCAGTTGGTTTTGCGTGGGACAGGGGTGACAAGTTTAGCACGGAGGCCTGGAAGCATTTGGATCGGTGTTCCGACGCTCTTTGTGTTTAGCTTTGCCCAATCGGTACCGGCTGGTCGAAACTCCAGACAAGGCTTGCAGCAGGTCCCTACGCATGGGGGCATGCCTCAGCGAAAGGTCAAAGAAGAGATTGTTCCACAGAGTTTGGTAGGCTAGCTTTTGCTTTTAGCTTAGGGCTTTTCCTAGCTTTCCTAGCTTTTGCTAGCATGTCCACGCTTTTGTCTAGGAGGGTGTTTTATTCAATTGGCACTGTTTGAAGGGATGTCTGATTTAACCCTATGGTCCAAGGTAGGTTCCCTAGGTTAGGCGTCCGAGCACGTGACCAAAGCGAGCGTGGGGCCAGCTCGGTGCAGGCCCAGCTGGGCTCGGTGAAGGACCAGCTGGATCGGCTAGACGAGCCCCTCAGTCCGAAGGGAGGGAGCGCTGGGTTTGCCGCATCGGATGGACTTTGGAAGTGAAAAGCAAGGGAAGTGTGGCCCAGGGGCGGGGGATGCGGGACGCCAAAGTGCTACGTCGACCTTTCTCATTCTTGTACAATCATTTTTGAACCATAAGTTTGTCTTTCATTTTCCTTGCGGTATGAGTTACAAAAGCTAGTTGGCGTGGAGCAACACTCTTTGAGCTTTTGCATCCTCTTGCTGCTTGCTAGTTTCAGCTTTTGTGCGCGCACACACACACACACACACACGCACACACTGGATCCCAGTGTATCCGCTGGCCACCCACGCTTTCTCGTTGTTGCACGCATCAAATGACATCCCCTCAGTTCGGTGGGTGATTGAACTCGAAGCCGGGCGGCATCTCCACCCCTTCAGAAACTGAATTGGGTGAGGGCAACCCCATGAAATCTTCATTTTCCCTTCCGGAAGACACAAAGAACGCTTCATTGCCAGCTGCCAGCTGCTCCGTTCCCCCAGGGGGTGCTTCAGCGCGCGGCTAGGCTCGCCTCTGACTTCGAGCAGCTGGCCGGGCAGCTCCAGTCCCTGAACGCCGCATCTCTGAGAGGCGAGATTCGCCGCTCGTCCGCACTCGGCACTTGGCCTTGGCAAGTGTAAACGACAGGGTCAATGAGTTTATTGTGTTTAGGTGTTGTTCCGCCAGTTGAGCTGGAACCCGGTTGACCCTTAAAGCCCCCCGGTTGCCCCTTTGGCCCCTGTGGCCCTTGCCATATTCTCACGCCCAGGCCCCGGGCTGCCTGCGGCCGAGGCGGGGAAGTTGGCGCGCGATTTAGCCAAGTTTTGCAAAAGCATGGAGCCCGAGTGGCTTGAGTGGCTCCGGCAGGGACCCCTTGTGGACCCTGTTTGGCAGTGGGTGATGTGTGAGGGATCGAATCCCAGAACAGCAACACACATACACAAGTCGTTGATGATTTTCGGGATCTTGGCAAGCCACAAGGCATGGATCCTTTCCTATGGCTAGTGACATATATGTGAGTTCGAGGTGTTGCCCGTGTCTAGCTTCATGCCTTGTTGTCAGCTGGCAGTCACCGTGTTTGTGTTTTGTTTGGTTGGTTTTGGGTGAGGGCATTTGGTTGTGAAGCAGGTTGTCCTGATTTCAAGTGCTCACTTTCCTTAAGCACGTTGCGGATCCAAAGCTTTGGAAGAATCTATGGCGGTTGTGATGCTGGTGGAGGAGTTGTTGGCATTTGACAAGTGACCGGGGCCAGCTAAAATGACATTTGATGTGGCTGGCAATGGCAGTGTGGGGGCAATGGGGGCAACCGGGGGCTGCTCTGGACCACCTGTTGGCGGAGGCGTGTGGTGCAGCCTCAAGTTCAGGGCGAGGGGCCCGGTGACCGCATGGCGACAGGATGGATTGGACCTTTGGTCTATTCAACTGCACGGTTTTCTTTTGAGGCGTCTTCTCGAGCAGTTTCAATATGTATATATATATATACACACATCAATAGCAAGAGAGAGAGCGAGAGAGCGAGAGATTTAAGCGTGACCTTGGTCTTCAGAGCCTTTTGCAGATACCTGAGATTAGGTCGATGGAAGCCAGACTAGATGCAGCCACAGAACAGGCTGGAGCCTGTTCATTTCTGGCAGCAAAGTGTGGTCACTGCGGGTTGAATCCACATCCACCCCGCTGCTTTCTTCCGGTTTCTCGGACTGCCTGCAGTTGCTGCAGCTGGCCGATATGATGAAGGCTCGTCTTTTGCTCCCTTCATCGCACTGGCGCTGGATCGCTGCATTCGCGGAGCGATCCCATGCTTGGCGTTGGTCCATTGACAATGGGTGATACATTTGGATGTTTGTCAGCCACAATTGGAGTGGTTATAGAAGGTGCTCTGTTTGAGGGAGCTGTTGGGATGAGCCTTTTGTCTCCTTCTCGTTGTCGACTTGTGCAGGCTTG